TTTTTAAATGGTTTAAATATAATGTCGCTGTTTCTTTATACTTTTTTATAAAGGGTGGAAACACAAACGCCTTCAGCTATTGGAAGCAAAACTCCGAATCAAAAATGACACATTTTCTCAGCTGTGTAAGTTGTTTGTTTCAGGAATTACCATTTTGACATTTCAAAGCATTCATACTCTAAATATAAATGGAAAAATTACTTTTTTAACCTTTTGAATTATTGTGTCTTAATAATTTATAGTTCAAAGTCCCTGAGTGCTTATAGAAACAAGTTGGAGTCAGCAACTGTATCATTTCCTTTCACTTTGAGAACAGAGGAAAGAGCTGCAAGAAGAAAACAGGCAAGAATAGCAACCTACTTCATTACTCTTGAGCCTTTTAATAAAAAACTTAAAATATTCTTTTAGTTTAACCTTTTTTTATTATTTAATTATTTTCAGAAGCTTGAAGAGAAGTTTAATGAAAAAGGAGCACAGAAAGTGCAGCTACAAACATCATTAGAGGTTATATAGATTATAATCTTGAGCATTTCTCAAATTTCCATTTATTTTCTTGTGTTTTTTTATATTCGAATAATTTAAAATACAGGAGAAAGCAGAGACAGAATTTACAAGAATTCGTCAAACTTTCTGCTTTAAAGCTCGGCCATTACCCAGTTCTTATAATGAAAGAGAAACACCAAAGAGCATGATCAAAAGGGTATGTATATACGTCTAGAATTTGAAAATATATTTTCTTTTAAAATGAATACATATTTTGAGGAATTAAATGTGTGTTTGTTTTTGTAGACTCCACAAGCACAAGGGAATTTGAATTTGAGGTCAGTAATTGTAACGCCTACAAGAAAACCTACGACAACACTTTTTTCTTTATTTTGTTTGATGTAATTTTAATTTTTTTTGGTTGTGTGTAGTTTTTTTTGCAAGCAAATACAATATGTCCTTTGGATCCACTTGTGTATAATGAGCTTGGAGTTGTTGCTTATCATATGAAAGAGTACGCATTCTTTACTTCGTTGTTTATTTGAGTAAACCAAAAAATGACCATTTTGCCCTTTAGTGTATGTGGTATGTTACTTTTTCTACCTACAATCCAAAAATGAGTATTTTGACTGAAAAAGATCCTTATAGCCAGGTTTCATTTCAAATTTTGTCGACTTTTGTTTTTTTGTTAAATGACGCTTTTGCCATTGGTTAAATTTTATAGGTATAAAAAGGCGGAATGGTGGTTTAAAAAGACTTTGGCTCACATACCATCACCATTAAGAGAAATGTGGGAATCAACTATGGTTAATCTTGCTCACACTTCAAGAAAACTCAAGTAAGTTCGCATTTTAAATATCAGGTTGTATAGTGAAGCAACTACATATTACGGAAAGGCCCTTCCACTATCTACAAGAAGCTTAAGCACGTACCATCCGAAAATGATGCTCAGAAACTTGAACGTTTGCTTACTGAATTCTTTCCTTATATATGTCATTTGATTGATTGTTAAGATGCTATTGGTAATTTTCATAAATTTTGCAACTTTGATATAGAGTCGATTGTTAACGCTTTAGCTGATTGCATGATTGATGCGAAAGAAAACTTAGATGGTAATGAATTGCAATCACTTGCAGGTGTTTCGAGAATAAGAAAACAACCTACTGGTATGGTTTTTTTTTAAGTCTTTTATAATCAAAAATCTAATCTCATTGTCTATAATTTTCATCTTTCAGAAACTAAAATCATTTTGCGATTCCAATCCACCCGTGAATGATGCAGGCTGTAGGCTGAATGTGACAGACTACAAAAAGAAGGCCCATTACTCTACAATTCAGTATGGGTTAAAGCATGTAAAAAACACATCACGTGAATTTTTTCATTTCCCCAAATTGGCCCTTTTACTCATTTTTTACCAAAAAAATGTGAAATGGTAATCTTTTTCTAATGTAATCGTCACTGTGTAATCGATTCCAACCTTCCCATTTCATCAGTATTATAATATGGTTGGTTATGTACTACAGTTTTAGATTACCAAACAAAACAATGTAAAGAGCGCTAATTCCCTCTAGTTATGATATTGTTGTTTATTTCAGTCTCCCATACAGCGGAACATTTGGTCCCATACAGTGATATTGTTGAATGTTCCACTCGGAAATTCCTACAGACGCAATCCACGAATCTACCTAGTTGAGTTACAACTTGAAAACATAAAAAGAACACATGAGTTACGACCTAAATTTCTTTATTGAATCAACGGTCGTACCATATTTTCCATACATGTTCACTAAGGGAGGAGGGAGTCGTTCCCTCCCAACCCACCGAACCCACTGCCACATCACTTTTTCTCTTTTATTTTTATTCATCTTTCCGAACCCACAACACACGGAAATCCTATCTTTTTGAACCCACTCAATTAAAAAAAATACAAAACAATCAAATCTAAAATTTTAATTAGCAATAGAGTTATCGGCGGTACCACTCCCGCTTTCAACGAGTGGGTTGATTGGTTTCACCAACCCACTTCATCATCTCTCTCTACTTTCTCTTTCTTATTTTCTATTGTACCATGTGTTTTAAAACTTGTACCTTAGTTGTTTTGTATTTTTTTAATTGAGTGGGTTGAGTGGGTTCAAAAAGATAAGATTTACGTGTGTTGTGGGTTCAGAAAAATGAAGAAAAATAAAAGAGAAAAATTGATGTGGCAGTGGGTTCGGTGGGTTGGGAGGGAACGACTCCCTCCTCCCTAATGAACTGTTTATGTATAAATTTTGGTCGAAACCTATATAAAGTATTTTGGCATGGATTTTGGAACTTAGGCTCAAGTTCTACGTATTGGCATAATAATTAGAGTAAATTACATGAATAGTCCTTATGGTTTGAGGTAATTTGTACGTTTGGTCCCTAACTTATTTTTTAACTCGAAAGGTCCCTACAGTCTGTTTTTGTTGCCTTGCTCCCTGTCTTACCTAAAAAGACTATTTTGCCATTGTTTTTTTTTAATTTATTTAAATAAAGTGGGGTAGGTAAGGTAAGGTACGGTGAGGTGGAAGTGGGGTTGGGGGTGTGTTTATTTAAATAAATTTAAAAATCAAGGGCAAGATAGTTTTTTAGGTAAGACGGAGACCAAACACGTAACAAAAACAAACAGTAGGGACCTTCCGAGTTAAAAATAAATTAGGGACCAAACGTGCAAATTATCCCAAATCATAGGGACCATTCGTGTAATTTAATCTAATACTTAAGAGTTGTTCAAAGTTTGAACTTTGTGGGTTTCTTATTTAACTTGTTTCTTGGGGTTTGTTTATGTCAAAGGGAGAAGGGTTGATTGGTCAGTTGCAGCTTTCCCACTTTAGACTAATGAGCTTTCTTACCCTAAGGTAGGATAAATGACAATCCATACATTTAAGGCACATAAATGAGTGGATATACTATCAATTAATTACAAAACCTCAACTCTCATTTATGAATGTAATGTAAAATCTCTTTTTCACACTCGGATTTAACACTGATTTCTACAAATAAAAGAATAAGCATTAGATGTTATATTAGTCCATTGCAACACCAAATTAGAATTATTAGAGCACCTAAAGTTGACATGTTAGGTGATATGTTAAAATTTTTAGTCATTTTTAAAATTCACACAAATATTTAGGAATTAATGATATCAAACAAATTATATAAATGTGTAAACTTGAAAGTAAGCTCACCTATGAGGTGGTGAATCTCTTAGTCTTTAAATAAGTTCTACAAGAACCTCCACATGATTTTTGTACAATAATAATACAGATAAATAGGGGTGGTTAAGAAAAGTAAAACCAAATTTAACGAATACATGCAGTGTCCACCATAACTCCAACCTAAACTGGTAAAATGTTCCACCAGCAACAAATAATTCATAATTTAAAAAATGTTATCCAAATTCATCAATACTATAAAAATAGTTAAAAAGAATGCTTATGATGTGGTCAGGGGTAGAATATGGAACAATTAAATCAAATTTGTCAATCAAAGTGTCATAAATTCGTACTTGTAAAGATCCATAACCTTTTCCAACAGCTAGGAGTATCTTTTGTGTAGAAGTACCTGGAACAATAAGTGAAATTACAGATATGGCACCCTACACACCGTTTATACTCTACTTAATTTCAAAAAGAATATTAATTGGTGATCATAAAAGTCTATTATAGCTCGAAAAAATACCAACATCTTTCAACAATGAAAATGTGACCACACCACCTTCTTTTGATTAATAATTTAGATACTGGCATATCATCATTGTATTCTAAAAATGAAATATTAGGATCAGAGTCCCCATATTTAATTTTTCACAAAATAAGTAAGTAACATTTCAGCTACATCGTATGTCTTGTTATGAACAACAACCATTAGGCAGCAATTGAACAATTATGACCATTAGACAATAATATAATAGATACACTGATACACCATTGCAGTGACAGAAGGCAATTTCAACCGAAATCAGGGGAAAAAAGAAAACCGAGAGCAGGCAAAATGGAGTTCAACGAAAACGGTAGCAATAGAACACATACATCTAAAATTAGTGGACATCATACAGATTTCAATATCAACAAACACATATGATTTTGATTTCAGCTGAAATGGGAAAATGACTTAAGAGACCAATTAAGTTTCAAAAGCGTTCATATTACCCCAATTATATTTTTGTTGTTCAAGAAACACCAACAAAGTAATGTTTTTTATTAGAAAACCAAATAAAGTTAAAAATAAAATTAATGTTGTTAAAAAGTGACCGACATTTATGGGTTAACGTTCTTTGTTTACCGGTGATGAAAGGGTAAATATGACATGACTTATTAAAACAAATTACGTGGAAATATAAAAGCCGCAAGGGAAATTGTTTCACCATCTAGGGTTCTCAGTGAAGGGTGAAATCAATATCTAGGGTTCTTACACAACGGTGAAATCTACAGAAGGTGAAGGTGAAATTGATTTATACAGAAGGTGAAGGAGAGTTCGTCGATTGTGCAGCAAGCATGTCTGGTGACTCCCTCAACATTGATGTCTACCACAAAGGTGTTTTTTCTCCTAATCCCTTTGTTTACTTCCATCCACATAAACTACCTGTTACGAGGCTAGATGTACGTAACATGGATTTCAAGGAGTTCAAGACCTACCTCCAAAAATTGATCAACAATAGATGTCGGGATATGTATTACTGTCTTAAAAATCGGTCCCTCGTAGATGGGTTAAGGGAGCTCAGGGATGAAAATGATTACGTTACGTTCCTTGATGCTGGGTTTGATGATGATGATAATCAAATCAGTATCTACATTGATGACTATCATGAACCCTTACTAGATTGGATTAAAGAAGAGAAAGCTGAAGAATGGGACAGTGGTACTGATATATATGAAGATGATGTGGACTCGGTATTGTCGGATGATTTATCGGTAGACCATGAAGCTGATGATGAGGACATTCAGTGGCCTGAACTTATTGATCCTTTTTTATCTCATAAAAATCTTATTCCAGAAACAAGCATAGAGGACGAAGCTGTTGATAAGGTAAAAACATCCTATTCACGATCCTAACCAAAAATGGGACACTATGATGCCTGAGTTAGGTATGAGATTCTCTGATCGAGATGAACTGAAACACATGTTAACAAATTATGTTGTGTCTAAGGATTATGCATTGTGGTATGAAAAAAATGAGGCAACTAAATTGTTAGTAAGGTGCAGTAAAAATGAAAAAGGGAAGCCATCTTGCCCTTTTAGACTATGGGCTAGTCCCATAAACAAGGAAAATTCATTCCAGATCAAGTCACTAATTGATAAACATAATTGTGCTAGACAACAAAAATTAGGATGTCTTGTTACGTATAAGTGGATTGGAAAAATGTTAATACCTGACATTTTGAAAAGGCCTCGGTTTAGCTATAGGAAAATGGCAGAAGTGGTTAGGAAAGACTATGGTCTCAAGGTAAGTCTTGGGCAGTGTAGAAATGCCAAGTACTTTGCACTATATGAGGTTTCAGGCAGTTTGGTAAGCCATTATGAGAAACTGTGGAATTATGGTGCTGAGTTATTGAGGGTTAATCCTGGTTCAACAGTCTTAATTGATACAAATCATATGCCTGATGCTACACACTACTTCAAAAGGATGTATATGTGCCTGAAGTCTATCAAGGATGGCTGGATTGAAGGATGTAGAAGGGTTATTGGTGTTGATGGCTATTTTTTGAAGGGTATTTGCAGAGGTGAGTTATTAACAGCCGTTGGTAGGGACGCAAACAACCAAATGTACCCTTTAGCATGGGTTGTTGTACTAGGTTAAAACAAGGAAACTTGGATGTGTTTCATTGATCTTCTACTTGAGGACATTGAGATGGGAGATGGTAGGGGTCTTACAATTATTTTGGACCAACACAAGGTGTGCTTTAGTTTACTTTTACTTACTATATTATGTGTTATTATGTTCTTTACAACTTAAATTTGTTATCACCTTGTAGGTTTTGATGGAGGCAGTTAAGGAAATAGCACCATCATGTGAGCATAGAATTGTGCCCGAAACGTCTTTGCTAACTTTAAGAAGAAAGGGTTCACGGGTGTCGAGTTTAGGAGGTTATTTTGGAGGGATGCAAAGGCTACAACTGACTCCACTTTCTGCTCATACATGAGGGAAATTCATACAATGCCCACAGAAGCTTATGACCACCTGATAGAAAGAGACCCGAATACATGGTGTAGGGCATTATTTGAACCTGAGAGTTGTTCTGATGTTGTAGAAAATGGTATATTTGAATCTTTCAATGCAATAATCGTAGAGGCCCGGAAGAAACCCATAATAACAATAGTGGAAGAAATCAGGTTATAAGTGATGGAGAGGATGTACAATCAAAAGCTTAAGGGGCAAAAGTGGGACTTAGAAATCTGCCCCTCTATTAGAAAGAGGATTGAGAAAATGAAAGAACAACAAAGGTATATTCTTTAATTGCAAGTGAATTAATATGAAATAACGTACCTTCTTAATATGATTTCATAACAGGTATTGGGATGTTGTTCCAAGTGGTGAGCAAGAATACGAAGTGAAATTAGCCCATGAAGTTTATACAGTTCACCTTGAACATAAAACATGTGGTTGCAGAGCCTAGCAACTCAATGGTATCCCTTGTGTGCATGCCATCGCTGCAATATTATTCCTGAATGGAAATGCAGAGGACTATGTAGTTGTGTGGTTTAAAACAAGCATGCTTGGAAGTTGCTATAGGTATCCAGTCAAGCCAATTAATGGAGCTAACATGTGGCATGATGTTCTATGTGATCCCATATTACCACCTAGGCGTAGGAGAATGCCAGGAAGGCCCAAAGTAAACAGAAGGAAATGTCCTACAGAGAAAGAAGGAAGGCATACAATTAACAAGACATGGATGTCCATCTCAAGATGTGGTAATTGTCATCAAGAAGGATACAACAAGAGGCGATGTCCATTGCTCACAGAAGGTTGATTTTTATTTTTGTTATTCATTCATCTACATTTGTATAATAATAAATTTATTTGTTTTAACAATGCAACAAATAAACCAACTATTGGTGAAGAAAGGGACGTTTATGGTGATATTGATGCTGAAGTTGATGATGAAATTGACCACTATGAGGCTGATGTTGAAGACCACCAAGAAGCTGATATTGTTGCTGATGTTGATGTTGAAATTGACCACTAAGAAGATGATGTTGAAGACCAACAAGAGGCTGATGTTGTAGACCACCATGAACTTGATGTTGAAGATGATGGGTTTTGAGCACTATAACATCCCTATGGTGCACATACAACCCTAATGCTTTGGATCTAAGTTTTCTCTAATTATACATGCAATTTCATTTTTCCAAATCATGAAGCCTAACTAGCATACAACTTTGATAATTGAAACATAAAAACAAGTTAGATGATTACCTCTTTATTGAAGCTTGTAGAACTTGGCCTTATAAGAGCTTAGCACCTCAAGTGTGATGCCTCAAATGTGTCACAAACACCAAGAACAATGGAGGACAATGAGAGAGAGCTTGGAGGCACCAAAAATTGGCTAGCTTCTGCTTAGAATGCACTTGTGTCGATTTTAGGGCTTAGGGGTTTACATATATAGTGTAGAATTCCAAAGGTCATTTGTAAACCCTAATCCATACACTTAGGCTTTTGATTCAATAATTCATTTGGACTAACACTTCATGGACTCTCACATAAGCTTAGTACATTACTAATCAATCATAGATCATTAGCCCAAACTATATGTATCATTGATTTACATAATCAGCCCCCGTTAATTTAATTAGTCTCTTTTGATCACTAAATTAATTCCAAATTAATTTTTGATCAATACCAATTAAATAATATGATTTCTTAATTAATATATTATACTTATAATATATTAATAAATCACAAATAACCTCTTTCTCAAATATCCATCCAATCAAATTGCTTTGGTGAAGGCAACCCAAAATGGACCATGCTACTATTGGGTCAAGTACATACCAATTATAGTTATGGGCTTAGACACCTGATCCAACAGTCTCCCACTTGGATAAGTCTAATAACTATAATTGCCAATGCAACTTCAAAATCCGATTAGCAATCGTAGCTCTCAAAAGCCACCGTCGAATTCTGACGCGTTCTTTAGATAAGGGATCATATAATCCTCTGTTCTTCAAGATTTCGTGTGGACAAATACATGGAACATAGTCATACTTATTATCCAACAGTTTGTTTCCCGATTTCTGATTTGTTTGACATAGAACTTAATTGAACACATCAATTGAGTCCTGACCGGGCCTGGCACATAAGTCAAAACAAAATCATCGAGGGGCCCAAGATATCGCTTTTAATCCTCTTAGGATAAAAGGAACATATAAACTTCGACTTATATGCTTGTACTAATTACTTGTTAAATTATACACAACAACACGTTTTATAACATCAAGTTACTGATGCGTTTTCGTACTATCAATGCACAACCAACTCGTAATTAACAACTCATATATCTTGGTTTGAAGACTATACAATATTATCGTCTCACAATCACTCGTGATAAATTCCATGAAGTGATTCATGTGAGCGTGAGTTTAATCCAATACTCAAATCTTATTTCAGGAGTACTCATGAACTTTGTAGCAAACTTTTTCTATTTCTAAATGCTTTAGACAATCTAAAAGTCAATTCATGACAGTCTTGCGTCAGTACCTACTTCCAAAGTATGATCGGCTGTGGAAAATTCGAATTATCTTATTATTCTGCAAGTCAAAACATGCAAAATGAAACAATAGCAAACGACTGACACAAGATAGTAACTTTACTCATAAATAAAACTCCTTTTATTTAATCATCAAATGTCAATTACATTTTAGCTATTACAAGTTTCTAGATAGCTATCTAATCACCAAAATTAATATCGTCCTTCAGCCCAATACTCCTAGCATGCTGCAAGTGCTTAACCCTATCCAGTCCCTTCGTAAGGGGATCTGCTGGGTTCTCCTCTGACGATACCCTCTTTACTAGGAGGAGTCCTTCTTCTTGATGTCTTATGAAGTGATATTTTTTGTCGATGTGAATGGATCTACCATGATCCCTCGGTTCCTTGGTTAAGGCAACCGCACCCTCGTTGTCACAGAAAATCTGCATGGGCTTCTTTACAGCTGGTAAAACTCCAAGGTCTCCGATGAAGTTCTTCAGCCATATTGCCTACTTCGACGCTTCGCTTGCTGCTATGTACTCTGATTCGGACGTTGAATCAGCTACAGTCTCTTGTTTGGAACTTTTCCATGTTACTGCTCCTCCATTTAGGGTAAAACCCAGCCCAACTGAGAGCGGAAATTATCTCTGTCGGTCTGAAAGCTGGCGTCACTATACTCTGTCACTCTCAAGTCATCACTCCCACCGAGGGTAAGGACCAAGTCCTTAGTCCTCTGCAGGTAGTTAATAATGTTATTTACCACAGTCTAGTGAGCTCTACCAGGATTCCCCTGATATCCGCTGACCATGCTCAAAGCAAAGGTCACATCAGGGCGAGTACATGTCATAGCATACATGATCGATCCAACTGCGGAAGCATATGGTACTCGACTCATTTTTGCTATTTCAGCATCGGTACTCGAGCTCTGAGTCTTACTCATTTGGTATTGTTCAAGGTGGGCAATTCACCTTTCTTGGAATTCTCCATGCTGAAACGTTTCAACACCTTTTCCAAGTAGGTACTTTGACTAAGTCCTATTAGTCTTTTACTCCTATTTCTCAATATCCTTATCCCTAGAATGTAAGCAGCTTCCCTGAGGTCCTTCATAGCGAAACACTTCCTAAGCCAGGACTTAACCTCCTGCGAGGTTGGGACGTCGTTTCCTATGAGTAGTATTTCATCTACATACAACACCAGAAAGCTAACCTTACTCCCACTAGCCTTGACATACACGCAGGACTCATCCTCGCTTCTCGAAAATCCAAACTCTTTGACTTTCCCATCGAAACAAAGATTCCATCTGCGAGATGCTTGTTTCAATCCATTAATGGATTTCTCAAGCTTACACACTCTATTAGGGTACTTTGC